AAAATAGAGTAATTTTTTAAATTATGCCACTCAGAAGAACAGAATTATTTTTCTATTATAACCTTATCGATATAGAAAAATGAATTCTTTGGCCTGACTCTTTTGCAGATTACTCATCTCCCCAAACCCTAAGAGACTAAAATTTAAATTTTGAACATTTTTAAGGTCTACAGTTGTAGACAGTAACTGTTCATTATACTCAGTGTGTAATCGCCCTTATTCCTTATTTTCTTTTACCTCAGAAATGTTCCTAACTCTCCATTTGTTTGCAGGAAGGTATTCAATCCTGTCTTGGGCCTTTTCGTTTTTGTGCTACAAGCAACTCTAACTCATGAGAGTGGAATTTTCACTTTATTTCTTTCACTAGTATTTTGGGGTTTGGATGCCTTCTGGTTTCTTCATACCGTCTTTTAACTTGGGAGGTTTAAAACTGGACATAAAATTCTAACAAAGGCTCTTCAGATTTCATCTTTGGCCAAATTGTTATGCATGTCGGGAGGTTGAAACTTAGGCTATGTTATTTTTCTAGTGGAACCAGAATTTGTGCTTTTGTGGTCCATAGACTTTTGTTGCTGTCATGTTGATGGACTAGGAATTACGTTGGTGTGTTTTGGGGTGGGAAGAGTTCTTCACCAGGGTGTCTGCTTTTCCTTTATCAAGCAGTTCACAACAGCAGTCGTGAGGATTTTGAGGCAGTCTACAGACACCAGAATATGGTGGGTTTCTCTAATCTTTGTAATTTTTAAATGTGTGAAATATTCCTCCATCATTCGTCATTTTAACCTGTGTACATTTCTGGAGGGCCTCCTATGCGTCAGATACAGCCCTGAGCTCAGCCTCTGTGCTGCGTGGGCCAGTAGATCGTAGGAGGTGATTGTCTGCGACTTCTAAACACTATGTAAGATTTCCAAATCACTCACAGGCCAGAGGGATATGCCTTATATTCCCTTGCCAGGCCTCAAGAAGCAAGGCATCAAGCAGAGATAAAGGACTTTTTTACCCTCTTTTCTCATCTTAGAAGTCCCACTCCCCTTTCAGGTATAAGCTTAGTGTATTTTTCAGTCACTGGCAGTGGTTCAGTATTAGAAAGCTGAACAACAATTGAAAATTCATCTCCAGTTCAGCAGTTATTGAACTCCTTGGCTGGGCCAGGCACCCTGTGGGAAGTACTGGGGATAAGAGACCAGTAGGAAGGAACTCTTTTCTTTAGAAGCTGACATTCTCAGGAGATGGTTTAAACTCACCTTAGTACGGCATAATGTTAATCACACAGGGATACAAATGCAATGAAAAACGGACTGGAGAGGACCAAGTAGGTGAAAGAGAGGGAGGATGTAGCATTGTTCTCTCTTTGTTTCTTGCCTAGAGAGCATAAAATCCATGGAAGAGATATCTGTATTTTTGCCTCATTAGTTTTACCATAGTAACATATTTTGATCATTCCTCACTGTCCCCCAAAGGACTACTGAAGTTTCATTCTGAAGGGGAGCCGACTTGAGGTTTGAGGAGCCGCATATGTATACATGCAGCAAATCCAGTACAAGGTTTCCGTTCTTGCATTGTACAGGCGTTTGGAAGCAGAGACTAATATATAGGCATTAGGATTTATTTTATTCCTTTCCCTAGTGATTATGTTGACAGTGAACTATCTTTGTCTGAGTACTCCAGTTATATAGCTATAGGCGCCATAAAACTGCATAGATGGATGACTACCAGTTCAATTAAGAGGTCTTAACCTAGCCTGCCATATGCAAACCTTGTCTATTTTAGGTTTAAATTTCTGCTCATAAATTTTTTAAAAACCCAAAGAAACATTCCTTTTCAAGGTCAGGCTGAAGCCTAAGTTTCCTTAAACATAAAGCAAATCCCTAGATGGGGGAAAAAACATTGATAACCCTAATGTACTTCCTCATGAGGGCATTTCCAATCCCATCCTTTACACACAGTGTATGTAAGTAATATTCTCTTCATTGTAATATACAAATCTGCTGGCTTTCCACCAGTCGCCCAGAGAAGGTCACTGGTATGGGAGACTCAGATAAAAGAAGAACATCCAGTTCTGTACAGTTGGGTTTGTTTTCTGGGGCTCCTAATTATTTCAGGTGGTAGAAATCAATCAACCATGTGATATTTGTCCAAAAGAGTAAGACACAAAGTTACCTTGGCTTCTGACAGGTGTCTATGGAGTATACGAAGGAGAAAAGTAAATTAATTGTTAACCTTCTAGATACTGTTTTAATGCAAATGTTTGAGGAAGAGATCTTTCGTTTGTATTAATTATGTATGGTAGGAATTAATTTGTAATTCTGGTCATCTGGTTGGCTCCACACTTAACAGCATCAGTGACCTTTTGCAATACCAGAAAGAGCGTCCGTGCGTCCTCAGCAGAGGATAGCACTAGGACTGGGTAGTTTTGCTTCTTGGCTGAAAAAGAAAATGGTATTGAACAGCCCAGGGTAGAAAATAACAATTGAAGTTTTGAGATCATTTACATTTTCGTGTAGGTCTTTGGCTTTGCCTGCCACTTAGCAGAATGGTGCATTTTAGTATGCAGTCCTCAGATGGATAGCAGTGTCTCCCGCTTTTGAGTAAAACTAGAAAAATTAAATTCCGTTTTCAGTTTGGCTAGATGCCTTCTCCAGTATCTGAGCTTTCATGAGAACGCCGCGGCCCCTTGCAGACCAACTCTGAGCATTTTCTTACCACTCACTCCTTTGCTATTGGTTTGCTTATTTTTCTGTGGCTTGGAATTTTAAACTTTCTTTGAACATACCTACTATTCATCTTTTATTGCTGTGCATGTTTTCTATTATTATGCTATAGTGCTGTAAAGGTAGGGTGGCAAACCAAGTATAAATGAAAAGTGAAAAGAAGAAAGATGTCCATTTTCAGATTATATAAAAAAAATTTTAGGGTCTTCCCTTATTCCTTTTTGCCTTAATATCAATGTAATTGACTATTGTATATCTGAATTAACTGAGATAAAACTATTTTCCATTTATTCATAGAGATGTGATAAAGATACTACACGTAGAAGTAATACATGGATAGAGATGTATGTTTGCTAGTATTTTTCCAAAGAAAATGTTATGTTTGGCCAAATGTTATATATCTGTTTTGAGACATAATCAAGAATTCTAATTTTCCCTAAAACAAAATTGGATATTTTGCTTTCATTTTAATTATGAAAATTAATGGTTTAAGATTTTCCAGAACAAAAATAATAGAACTATGTCTTTCTCCTAAAACATATTGAATTACCACTTAAAATATTTAATGTGTAATTTCTGATGGCAAAATTATAGGTTCTTTCCCTAGAAGAAAAAGAAGGTAGTCATGCTGTGTTTTTTAATTGTTTGTTATAAATGTAATATTAATTTATGTAGTTAAAATTGTAAATACGGGTCAATATAAAGTTGTTTGCATTTCTAATTTTTCGTGCAGGTTTTGTATTTTTGTAGCTTATTCTGAAGGATTTCTCTAAAGGTTTTTGGCATATAATAACACATTTTGTTTGTGTCTTCTCTGTGGCGATTGTTACAGAACGATAAAAGCTGTCACTTTGCCAGACTCAAAGAAAAATTCACTTTTTAGCATCTTTTGCTATTTAAACCTTTGAATCAACAGAGAAATTCTGCTGTAGTCACCAGATTAAGATTATTTGAAAACTTTTAAATAGATAGTTTCGCTATAGCACATTCTTGTAATTAGAATCTTCATCTGCTTAAAAGCAGGGAGTCTTTCAAAGTAATAGATTAGCATTTCTAGACCTAAGGTCACTAGTAGTGCTACTTCTTTCTGCAGTATCTCCAAGAGAGAGAATGGTGATGCTATAACTCAGTTGCTGTGGAAGTAATATTTTCGATTTAATCTCAGTTAAGCGTCGTGACCTTTTGACCTTACGTTAAACTTGCAGAAATGTGCTCAAATTTCAAACAGCTAATTCTAAACCCGTGAAGTCAAGGTGAAGTTAGGATTCAAGTTTTCCACAGATTACAGAGGTTTTTTTTTAAAAAAAAATTTTTTTGTTTGCTTTTAAACAATGTTGTAAATTACTTCAAGTCTCAGAAAACACTTTATTTTTATGTCAGAATTTTTCCTCTTGAAACATTTTGCCTGTGTTTTTCTCTCCTCTCCCCAAAAAAGTACAATAAATATGCTTGTTTCTAATTGTGTGAAATTCTCTTGATCTAAGTTAATTTCATCTAATTTAAAAATTAAGTACTTTAATTTTTAATTATTTCATTTAGAAATGAAGTTAATTGAACTCTTTTTTTAGTTTGAAAATATGATGTTTTTTAAATTAAAAAAAGTTTAATTCTATAAAGGTGTGCAAAAGTCTGTTTTTGCAAACAAGCCCTTTTAGGATCTCCCAAATACATCAGTACAAGAGAAAAATAATTCTTATAAAGCAGGGGAAACTCATACTTCAGAAAGACTCCTTTGAGTTATGCAGTTATTTCAAGAAAATGTGCTGGAATATTAGAACTCTAGTATTTAATGGTGTTAGTCTGCCTAGTCTGTTGCTGGAATGCATAGCTAAATATCAACAGAACTTGTTACTGTTGTTTGGGTTGCTTTTATATACCAGCTTCAAAATATGTTTTGACACTTTATTATGTTCTGAATCAAGCTTCAGATGTGTGTAATGAAGGATGAAGTCTTTATCAGACTCGAGTGTATAAATAGTGGAGAAGAGCCGTTTGGAAATGGTCTCTCTAAGAGAATGGTTGCTGAAGAGCTTCAAGTTGTGATCTGGCAAAAGCTAACGCCACTATAGGTGTCAGCAAACCGGAGCCCTCTCTAAAGGCACAGGCTGCTGCTGCATTTTCCTCTCCTTCTTTTCTTTTTCCATGTTTTCTTTTCTTCATGTCTCATGTCATTTCTGTAACGTTCCCATTCCTAGTTTATAGGTTGAACCTTTTGAGAAAGTCTGGCACCTCTGATCCACTTTCCCTTGCAGACCCTGTAATTTTTGGCTGTATTTTTATGTTTTTCAGATTCAAGTCAATCTGAAAGTCCCAGCCAGCCAAGTGACGCTGACATTAAGGACCAGCCAGAAAATGGTAAGTTTAGCTTGAGACTCTAGCTGCTGCTTTCAGAGTCCACAGCAGCCAGGAAGCTGACTTAAGGGCAAGGATTTGGGGGCCTACCCTATACGTAGCCCACCGTAGTAACAATTGCAAGGACTCGGAAAAACTCAAGTAGATTACTTTTAACAGGGCAACTTCTTGTTCTCTGGATCACCCCAGCAGCCTCAGGACCCCCTGGCCTCAAACACTATGAGGGTGCCCACGAGAACCTTAATTCCCAAGGAAGTTGATTACCCATTTAAACTATGAGAAGTGGAGTTAATTTACCAAATCAGATTTTTTTTTAATAGCATTAAGTGAGGAATCATGGCTTTTTCATTTCATTTTAGTTCTTTAATGTGGCAAATGCCCCATGATCGTCTTCACTAGTGATTTAAGATCATTCATTCACAAGCTAGGCCTTTTGGGAGCTCAACCCTTTGCCAATTGCTTTAAGAAAAAAAAACTCTATGCCTTTGAAGGATTTTTCTACTTTAAATTGTCTAAAATAAAATAGGATACAGGACAGCATTAAATTCCACAGTTGCATAAATATCTATATTAAAATAGAACACACACATTATATATGAATATCATAGTATCTGGTAAAATGCTGAATTTGTGGCACTACAAGTATGAAAAAGATTGTCATGGATTGGAATTTTAGATTGAATAAAAGTATAGGTTTTAATAAAAACAGAGGCATGAACTAGCAGTAACTATCGTATACGTAGAGAATTTCACAGATATTATCTCATAAAATTCCAAAATGTTCTTTGCTGATAGCACTGAGGACTCAGGTGGAATGCTTTACCTTGAAGGGGCTATGGGGAGAATGTCATTGTGATAAAAAACTCAGGCTGTGGGCTGGGCCCACACCTGTGGGTGGCTCACATTTGTAATCCCAGCACTTTGGGAGGCCAAGGAGGGTGGATCACGAGGTCAGGAGTTTGAAACCAGCCTGGCCAACATGGCGAAACCCCATCTCTACTAAAAATACAAAAATTAGTCAGGCATAGTGGCACACACCTGTAATCCCAGCTACGTGGGAGGCTGAGGCAGGAGAATTGCTTGAACCTGGGAGGCAGAGGTGGCAGTGAGCTGAGATTGCATCATTGCACCAACTCTGGGTGACAGAGCAAGACTCTTGTCTTTGCTGGGGGGGGAGGCAGGAAGCTGTGGTGTCAGACCTGCATTCAAATTCTGCCTCTACTATTTCTTGCCTGTGTGATACTGAATAGGTTATTTAACCTCTCAGATTATTGATTTATTCCTCAAAAACAGGGTAATGATATTACCTGCCTGTTGAAGAATTAAATAAGATAATATGTGTAATGTGCTTATCATAGTATCTTTCATAGAGTTTGTGCTTTAAAAATGTCAGCTGTGGTTCATTATGACTCATTATTTTTCTTGTCAATATAATCCTACCATATTTGTTTTTCACCTACTTTGAATGACCCCATTGCTTGAATCTCTTCCTTTTGTTGTCATGTACATTGTTCCATGTTGATCTCCATCCGATCTTTTGAAAAGATAGGCAAATGGAATTATGTTGGTATTGTGGGATGAAGGATCAAGTTTACTACATTAGATATCCTATCACTAATTTTTCAGAATATGTTTTATTTCCTACCCTGAGAAATGTTGATTACATTGCTGGCTTCTAGCATTAAATACAGACTGCTTGGCTATTCCTCTCCTCATCCTGGTATTTTGGTGATATTTTCTTTATCAAAGTTGTCTTTTTAAAGCAGGCAGTAAAAAAAAAAAAAAAAAAAAAAAAAAGAACTCTAGAGGTTTGTTTTTAGTGTCATATACAGCTACATCTTATTTTTTGTTGACATTTTAAAAAGTGGTATTTATAGACTAGTTTCATTCTTTATTTTCCACTTGACTTGTAGGTGATGTCTTCAAAGTTTCACTTCTTTCTACATATTGTATTTGTGCATAATCTCCCTAAAGATGTCTCCAGAGGTATCATTTTATTTTCATTTTCAAAAATGTGTGGACTGTAGGGGTGTGTAGTTCGCGTATTTAGGTCTGGCCGCCCCTCTAGCAGGCCTGCGATTCATCTGTCTTCATAAAATGGCCAACAAGCTGTTCACATGCAAATATAAATTGAGAGCATGAGAGGCCTGGCATGCCTTTCTGGAGCCGCCTGCAATCCCAATATTGTGTGTTTCCCATTCCAGAAAGCAACCAGGATTGAGCCTGGATTTTTCGGCCAAACGCAGAGAGATACTAGCCAAGTTCACTTTTAACCTCAGATCACTTGATGCTACCTCAAGGATTTACGCTATCATTTCGGGGAACTCATGTGAGTTCAAAGAAAGAAAGAATTAATATATAGGAGATAAAGTAATAAATTCCTTTCCGTTTTCAATTTGTTTCAAAGAAAAAGTAGTGGAAGCTGCTTTTATTTTAGCCCCAGTTGAAGAATTATCAGCCTACTCAGTTTTCTGCCTCTTGTCAATCTCAGATGAAGTTAGTGGAAGAAAAATGATTTTTATCTCTTCCTTAAAGACCTATAATCCCAAAAGGAATAAGTGAAGATTCAGGGCTTGATATTTACATGCATTAGATAAGGTTCTACTCTCCGGTGTTACATTGATCAAGAGAAGTTCCCTCTTTTTCATTACCTCAGGATATGAGGATGAATTCCTGAGAGGTTTTTGTGTGTTTTGTTTTGTGTTGTTTTGTTTTGTTTTGTTTTGAAAGAGGGAACTCTCATAGGTGTATCAACAAAGTTCTAAGAAATTTTGGAATCTTGCTGATTGAAGAAGTAACGGACTTGATTCTTCAAATAAGATGGGAACTCATTACTTCATATATATGTATGTGTGTGTAAATATATGTATATGTATGTATATATGCAAAGGAAAATAATATTCTTTTTATCCTAGCTCTTGAGAAAGGTAATGGGAAACGAATGGTATTTCCCTAGTAAACCATGGAGAATGAATAGACAAATGGTAACACGCTGTTTCATCCAAAATCGTAAACTGGGCCATGTAACTTTACCTAAAGTAGATGCAGCTGTTTCTTCCCCGTCCAACTGGTCTGTTTTTTTCTGTGGAATTTTTGCTTTCTTTTCTTGTACTCCCTTAAGACTCAACTTGTAAAAGAAAACAAATCTTTGTCCAATTAGAGCATTAGATGGGAATTTTGACGGAATTATCTGAAGCCCAGAGATAAAACATCAGAATCTTTGAAACTCAAAATTGGTATAATATAGTGGGTAATAACTCTGCCTCTGAAGTCAAATAGACCTGAGTTCAAATTAAGTAATAGCTGAGTGACTGCATAAGGTACGCCCCGATCTCAGCTTTCTCACCAGTAAAACAGAAATACTAAAAGGAGGCCAGGTGCAGTGGCTCACACCTGTAATCCCAGCACTTTGGGAGGTCAAAGTGGGTGGATCACTTGAGGTCAGGAGTTCAAAACCAGCCTGGCCAACATGGTGCCCATCTCTACTAAAAATACAAAAAGTAGCCAGGCATAGTGGCACATGCCTGTAATCCCACTACTCGGGAGGCTGTGGCAGGAGAATATTTTGAACCCGAGCAGCAGAAGTTTCAGTGAGCCAAGATGGCACAACTACACTCCAGCCTGGGTAACAGAGAAAGACTCCATCTGAAAAGAAAAGAAAAGAAAAACTACAAGGACCTATCTCAGGAGTGTTAAACTGAGACTATGCATACAAAATAGCATTCTGCCTGGTTTGCAGTAAGGACTCAAAAAAAGATTACCGGCCGGGCGCAGTGGCTCACACCTGTAATCCCAGCACTTTGGGAGGCCGAGGCGGGCGGATCACGAGGTCAAGAGATGGAGACCATCCTAGCCAACATGGTGAAACCCTGTCTCTACTAAAAATACAAAAATTAGCTTGGCATGTTGGCGCACATCTGTAGTCCCAGCTACTCGGGAGGCTGAAGCAGGAGAATTGCTTGAACCCGGGAGGCGGAGGTTGCAGTGAGCTAAGATCGAGCCACTGCACTCCAGCCTGGCGCCTGACGACAAAGTAAGACTCTGTCTCAAAAAAAAAAAAATTACCGTGACTACTTTCAAGTTAAAGCTCATCATATTTACAATGAGTATGTGTATTCAAGAGGTCCAAAGCTGGGAGCCTTGGAGTGGAAGGAGATGGTGTCAGAAATATACCAAGACTTTTAGAGACATCTTTTGTGGGTACTTATCCTGCTCTGAAATGTCAGACATAGGTTTCCTAAATCCCCACAATCCCCATGGTACCACGTCTGTTTTCCTGTTTTGTTTTATCCTCACAATCTGTTCATCTCCCATGAGTCTGAGAACCAGGGAATTGCAAAAAGGATTCAGAGTTGCTGGAACCTTCAGAATGAGTGCTCAAGAAGGTGATTCTGGAAAGAAGAGACTCCTCCTAGATATCTTTAACTTTAGCTGAGTTTTTTCTTGGCATAAACCAAACTTAAAAACTGTAAGCTGATTAAGGGTAGGATTTATGACAAATTTCTGTTTAAAAAATCCTTCACAGTTCCTAGATCTGTGCCTTGAACTTAGTGAGTTCCTAGTACTTACTTGCTTAATGAATAAAATTAATAAGTAAATGAATATATTGTCATTACTCCCAAATATTTTTGGAGTATCTGTTCACTTTTGATTTACCTAGAGATTTTAAGAAATAAACAAAACAAAACACTCTGGGAAAGCTGAAAACCTTATTTGGGTGTGAGTGAAGTCTGAACTCAGACACATGGACAGAGGTTAACAGATACAACTAGTAGGTCTAGGAAGCCAAAGCCGATGGCTAGGTACTAATGGCAGTAGGACATCAGGTTGTCCCTCTTCCCTTCCTGCTCTCCCTCCACTTCAATGAGCAGTGTGGTCAGATGTTTAAAATGTCACCATTTTAGTTTATGCATGATGCTTGATTACCATAGGGGATGCGGTTCCGACAAAGTTCCCAGCTCTGATTGGTATCGTTTATTTAATCCTTTGGTATATTGCTGAAA